TATTTAATGTTTAAATATATTTGATTTGTGACTTTAAAATTTAGGATAAAAGCTTTGGCTAGAAGAACAATTCTTACATCCTGAAAGAGATTAGTTGATATTGTGTAAGACTAGGAATAGATGCAATATATCAAGTGTATTTAATATCTATTGGGTTGATAAAAATAATACATCTTTAAAAGTTTCACATCACAATGGATAAACAATGGAGCGGGTGATAATAGCTATATAATGGGTTTAAAGTTCATGATGTTTCTCACCGCAGTCAAAGACACTTTAAGCATGTATTTGACTTTTCTTATATTCTTATAGTAGAGTATTGAGAGGTTTAGTTTAAATTCTTGCTTTGGAGAGTATAGGTATATTTGGGGTTAAAGGACATGAAAGAGTTGTCTATGTGTTGTAAAAATTTTCACATAGTGTTATTCTTTGGTTATCATTAAAGAACGGTTGTAGTTTTTCTCCAATTTCGGTATTTCCACGTTATATTATTGTGTTGATTGTTTTTCTCTTATTTCTCTATTAGCATGATAATTCTCTGAGGATGAAGATGATGATGTTTTTTTATGACATTATTCCCATCAAAGTGGTATCAGAGTTTATGGTTTAGTAGGATATTCTTAGTATGTTTTATGGTTGCAGTTTAGTCTGATCTTCCATACCATAACAGATTAATTCCTTGTTGTTAGAGAATCATCTTGGTTATTGAAGTTGCAATGTTATTTACAAGTGTTGTTAAATGTGACATTAAGAGATATGTTGTTATAATCTGGATTACACAAGGTGTTGAAAAAAAGAACTTCTGACATGGAGTTAAATATCCTCATGGCATAACCGCGTTGTCATGGAAAATGATGAATTTTTTTTGCTAGCGGTAATTATGCAAGGACATTGGCTAATATTGATGCAGGATGTGTGTGGTGATTGTACATGGGCGTTGGTTAGCATTGATGTAGGTGTACAGTAAAAAAAAATTATTGTAATGGTTTAATTTCAAGTGAGTATACTCTTTATGGTGAAATATGAATGATTGTTGGTGTAGGCAATGGAGATAAAAAAAATGTGTTTATTTTAATCATGGTGGAGATTGTTGGGTTGATGAAAATAATATATCTCAAAAAGTCTCACATCATATTGGATAAGCAATGGAGTAGGTGATAGTAGCTATATAATGGACTTAAAGTCCATGATGTTTCTCACTCCAGTCAAAGACACTTTAAACATGCATTTGACTTTTTTATATTCTTTGTAGTAGTGTTGAGAGGTTTAGTTTAAATTATTGCTTTGGAGAGTGTTGGTGTATTTGGGATCAAAGGGGCATGAGAGAGTTGTCTATGTGTTGTAAAAATTTTCACATAATGTTATTCTCTGGTTATCATTAGATAACAGTCATGATTTTTCTCCGATTTTGGAGTTTCTACATTATATTTTTGTGTTGATTGTTTTTCTCTTATTTTTCTATTAGTAGGATAATTCTCGGGAATAAAGATGAAGATGTTCTTCCTGACATTTTTCTCCATCAATATCTAATCATAATGTTAAAATGCTTATGGTGCATTTGAGGAATTAATGAGCAATAATCATTCTTAGACAACTTATATTTGAGGAATCAAATTAAGTGACTTTTGAATGAATGTACAGCTATGTGAATGGAAATTAATGATGTATAATGTTGATAATTGGAATACGAATGGTGCATACTCTTTGTATGTCAACTTCGGTCATATTGATGCACCTGCCAAAATAGACCAACAAGTTTTTTTTGGGGCCTTTGTCAAGGACTTGTGTCATAGATACCTAATTTCTTCATAAGTTTAACCTATCACTTGATATATTTTAGTTTTGTATAATTATATTTTTCAATTAATATCTTGTACTATGTTTGCTTTAGTAAGTTTGTTTATGTTATTGAGAGACAAGGCACCTGCGGATCAATTACAGTTTGATCCAAAAGTTGGAAAAACAGTCATCAAAAACAATAGTAAAATAGGGAAAAAGAAAAGAGAAACACAATGAAAAAAAGTAACCTTCACCATCAACTCATCCTTTCTAATACTCAACCAGGAATGGATCAACATCAAGGCCAACCAAATCAGCCTAAAAGGGCTCTAGGAGGCTATGCCATGCAGCAAGGGCCTAGACACAGTTCCAATATAGTTGCTCCACCTACAATCAAATCAATGGAGATGAATCTAACTTTCCCAAATTTGATCAACATGATAAGTGCCAAAAATCACTAGGACCAAAAATCAAGCACTTAGCAACTAATTATTTCAAATATGAATTATAACTTCTTCCAACTAGAATAATTTTTTGTGTAAATATTTACATAGGATAGAATACCAAAAATGAGGATGAGATCCAAGCTAATCAATGGATATTTAGGAAGAGTTCATTAATGGGAAAAGGAAGTACAAAGAGGAAATGCAAGTAACTATGAAGGCAAAATATTTATACAACATTCGCTTGAGCAAACCTTCAACAACAAAACAATACTGATCCAGGACAATTTTTGCTTCAGCAAGAATTCCTAACTAAAATGCTTCAAAAAGGGTAGATTGGTTGCAGTTTCATTTTCGCTTGAGTGAGAGAATCACTCGTTTGAGCGAAAATGCTTTAGAAAGATTAGATTTGGTTTGGCACGAATTTTGCTTGAACAAGGGTTTCTCACTTTATTGTTACCATTGATGCCACAAAAATTCCTATTTTAGTCCAAGAAGAAATGAAAAGTGAACACATTGGACTCAAGTCATGAAAAATGCATTAGAAGAAAAAAAAAATGTAAAGCCAAATTGGTGGTAATGGACTACACTCAAACTTATTGAATTGACTATGAGGAGATAGTTACTCTAGTGACAAAGTGAATATAGTTTGAATTGTTCTTGCTCTAGACGCTCATTTTGGTTGGGACTTACACCAATTGGATGTAAATAATAACTTTCTTCATGATGCTTTAGAACGGAAAGTGTATATGGAGATTCTTCTAGGTTTTGAAACTCAAAATGGAAGGAACAAGGCGTGTTGCCTAAAGATAGCCTTATATGATCTTATGCAATCTCTACGAATATTGTTTGAGAGATTTATGGAAGCAATTGTTTCTTTAGGATACAAGCAAAATCAAACAGATCATACTTTATTCATAAATCTCTCTTCTACCGGTAAAGTCATTGTACTGCTTATCTGTTTGAACAACATAGTCATCGCAAGAGATAATGAAATTGAGGAATTGGTTTTAGAGGAAAAATTGGCTGTCCAATTTGAAATGAAATACCAAGAAAAACTAAAATACTTTCTTGGAATAGAGGTTGTTAACTCCAACAAGAAATTTCATCTCCTAAAGGAATATGTACTTAATCTTCTCAAAGAAACAAGAAAGTCGAGATGTAAAATTTCAGGAGTTTCTAAAGTGAAGAAAGCTTTCCTATAGAAAAGATTGACTATCAAATATTGGTTGGGAGATTGATTTATAAGTGTGATGAGTTGGTTTATGCATGATCCAAAAGAAAGACACATGCAAGCAGTTGACAAAATTCTTCAATACTTGAAGTCAAGCTTAAGAAAGGGACGGGTGTTCAAGAAGGAAGACACTTTGAACCTAAAGATATATATTGGTGTTGATTATGCAGGTTTTGTTACATATAGAAAATTTACCTCTGGATACTATATGTTTCTTGGAGAAAGTTTTGTAACTAGGAGAAGCAAAAAACTGTGTATAATATCTCTTTCTAGTGTAGAAGCTAAATTTTGAAACCTTTCTCAAGGTATGTGTGAAGGACTTTGAATGATCTTAAAATCAAGGTAGACATCCCTATAAATTGTAGTGTAACAACAAGTCAACCATGAGCATTGTCCATGAATCAATACAAGATAACCAGAACAAACATATTGAAATTGATAGATCAAAGACAATCTAGAGAATGACCATGTGGTTACAATTCATGTCCCTGTAGGACTTCAAATAACAAACATTTTCATTAAGGACTTCCTTTGAACAAATTTCAGGGTCTTATAGAGAAATTGAGAATGATTGATATTTATTTACTATCTTGAAGAGAGCATTGTCAATAGTGATTTATTAGGATAAAAATATCTTGATAATCTCTATATTGATTGAAGTAAAATAATTTTAGAATCTTATTTATTTCAAATGTTTTGCTTTCTAAATTTAGAGAGTTGATACTTACAAATAACAAGACCTAAATATCGTAAACTTTTTACTTTATTAACATTTAACTCTAACTTGAAACCGTGGGTACACTTTTAAGAAGTAGCAAAACCTTTCTACTGCTTTTAATGGTCTCTATTTGCTTATTTTCATAAAGTGGAAATTCTGACTTGGGTAGTGGTGTAGAAGCATAAGATGCGTATTCACCTCACAGCATGCCAGATCAAAAATCTGTCATTTCACTACCTTACTTGGCTTCATTTCTGCACTTCTCTGTCTTACTTGGCATGAAATCAATAGTGTAGACGAAGACGCACCTCATGGTAGCATGGCTTTTGTTGTGTCACCATGTCAATTAATTTATCCCACACCAAGTATGAATCCAAAACCCAAATCCCAAATACCAACACACTCACCATAATTGAGCACCTTCACATGAACAACCAACCCCACAACTCACCAAAATCCCCCACCATATTTCACCACACCTCTTTAGCATTAACACCTGCCTCCAAACCAAGCATGTGGCGACAAATATCACCGAAACCCGTCCCAATACCACTCTTTCTATTATCTTTTTCCCTAACTTAATATCCCTCACTCTGTTTAGCACCAAATGACTCTGTTTTTGCCATTAGGTTCCCTTCTAAGTACCATCACAGCAATGCTTCCGCCCTAAGCAAGCCTAAAAAAATTCCCATAACCAATTGCAAAAAGCCCATTTTCCAAAGAGCCATGTTAAAGCATATGTTCTAAGCACCCTCATCACCACTAACACCGGCTATATATATTCTCCATTTTCCTCCCTCTCTCTGTGTCACCCTTGAATACAAAGATGGATGATGTAAATGCTGCTTCGTTTGAGGCCTTTCTCCAAGGGTGGATGGTGCGCCAAAGAGACTTCCTTGATGAGCTGAGAGAAGCTCGGCAACAGTATCAGGAGGGGCAGAGAGTTGATATGAGGCCATTGATCGACAGGGTCATCTGCCACTATGGACAATACTTTGAAGAGAAATCAAGGATTGCACACCACAATATTCTTCTTGTTTTCTCACCACCATGGTTCAGTTCATTGGAAAAATCCTTTCTTTGGGTTGGGGGCTTCAAACCTGGACTTGCTTTTCAGGTTGTGAACACAGCTTTGGAGGACATGACAGAAGACCAAAAGAACAGACTAAGTGTTCTGAATCAAGAGACCAAGATGAAGGAAAGAAGCCTCAATGATGAGTTGGCCAAGCTTCAAGAGAGTGTGGCAGATCCTCCGCTGGTGGACATGGCCAGAAGCCAGGGCAGGGTGCGTTATACTTGGCCCTTCCTGAGACCGCAGAGTTCTGTTCCAAACTCTTTCAAAGAGAAATTGGAAAATCTGGTGGCAAATGCAGATGCACTAAGGACAGACACAGCTTTGAGCATTTTGCAGATACTGAGACCTGCTCAGATTGTCACATTCATGGTTTCTGCGGCTGAGCTTCAGGTCAGGGTCAGGTCTTGGGGTTTAGACAAGGATGCCAAGAATGGAGGAGGCCAAGAGTGAAATCGACCATGGGAATTTGAATACTTTTTATATAAGGTTGTTTCGTTTTTTCTGTTTTTCTGGAAGTGTTTTGAATCGAGGGACAGATACATAGGCCTTAGCATTGTAGCATCTATGATGATGGATGTGTGCCTGTAATTCTGTTCCTCTCTGCCTGAAGTTTCTTTTGTGAGCGTTGAATAATGATGAATAAAATAAGGCCATGCATTGCATGCTTTATGTAGATGCTAAAGCATCAGGTTATGAGCATCAGGTTATGTTTATCGGTACCTCTGAGATAGAGGCAAGCAATCTAGATTTCAATTAGTTGCTGCTATATTTACCTAAGTATATAGTAGTAACCTAAGGGTTGTTTATTTTTCTGTTGTGGTAGTAAGTCATGTTTTTTAATGAAAAACTTGAGTATAAGATGTGGAACCTTGAAATTTAGTTTTTCAATATCCAAATTTCTCCCTACGGGGTCTTTTTTGGTCCTTTCCCCAACACACTGGGTTTATTCACACAGCAAGAGCAGGGCAGTGCCCAATGCTTAAGCAGCAGTTTCAAACATTAAGAAACTGGAGATGCTAAAGCAAAAGTTTCAAACATTCAGAATCTACAAGTTATCCAAAGTGGAGGCCAGGTAATCCTGCAGCCTATTATCCATAACAATCCCCCCAACAAAAGAAAAAGGGTGAATGAGGACTGGAATAATATTCCAAAATCACTATTTTTCATTTCTGCTTTGTTATCTACACAAACATTTGTATAATTACTGAATGTTTTTGGATTGTTAGTTAATTATAAATACATAAACCAGTTATGTCTATTAATCCATCGAGAAACAGACGTTACACTTTCACAGCCTACTTTTTTGGGCAGCAGGATTAAAGCTGGCAAAACCAGTAACTTCCCTGCCTGTGACCAGGTTGATAATGTCATACGTGCCTTCGAGGGTGTAGATAGGTTCTAAGTCACAGAATGCCTGCAAAATTAGAGATGAAAAGCAGAAAACATGGCTGAGAAAAAAGGATCTGAACTAGGCTTAATTAATTTATCCGTCCCAATAGAAAAGTACTAATAGGATGTCTAGTAGTAATTGTATTTTGCAAGCTTGTGTTTATGCTTAATTATAGACTACCAGCTACTAAAGCTTTCACTAACAAATCAACTTAAACAACGAGGACCAGCAGAGACTTCTTTATGGTTTGACGAAGGACTTGAATACTTTGTGTAAAAATGTAATGGTGGTGAGGCAGTTTTTGCTTGAATGAAGTCTGGCATAGAGGACAAGGACGGCCATTAGCATGGTATTACTACGAAAAATAAATCAAGGAAACAGATCATTATCATGTATAATTGGCCATCCATTTCCATCTTCATCCGAAAACCCCAATTATTGTAAAACATTTCAACATTGTATATTTACTTCGAATTAAGGTAACCATATCATCATTAGCATCCACTATTTTAAGGTTATGTTTGGATAATTCTCTTTTTCTTTTTCGTAAGTATTTAAAGAAGAAGAAAGGAAGAAGATAAGATGAATTGATATTTTTATAAACTAAAATTAAATTATAAAGCTTTTGAATTAGTTAGATGATATAATTTTTATGAAAAATAAGTGTACAAGATAATTTTAGTTTATAAGAGAAGTTGATACTTTAGCCTCGATAATTTTTTGGTGAGGGAATGAGATATATGAGTTAAAAATCCATTTTAAAAGTTCAACAAAATCAATTTCAAACAAGAAATTAAGCATGAGAACCTTTGCCACAAGGCAGCTGTTGCTCTTGCCCTCAGGTCAGGATTGCAATACAATTGGAGTCATTTTACCACTATCATGCACTTGCACAGACCCCAACCAACAAGAATCATTGCTTGACTGTTCCCTAGCATTTGAACAAGTTTCTGTTGACTGATTGGAAAGCTGCTAATGGTACTCCAAACCGTTTCCTCTCCTTAAGGTACCTAGCAAAGATAAGGAACACACAATTCACTTTAGAATGATTTGTTGCACCTTTTCAGTAAAAGCTTTTGTTGAAGTATACTAGCACGCTATCTAAGAATACCTATGGCACATATCACAGATGCCCATTGATAAACCAATAAGTTGCCAAGCAACCATTACACGTGAAACAGCAAGTACCTGTTTTGAGATAACAAACAAATAAGCAACACTTAAATTAATAGACAAAATACAAGATTACAACAACGGAGTTACAAAAGGACACAGGAACCAAGATTGACAAATGCGCTACTACTTCCTCAGGAAACAGAAGTTATATAAACAGCAAAATGTATACCATCATTTAGTTATTTATTACTGAAAGAATGAAATCATGTTCTTGAAATAACAGCAGAGATAAGTATATCATCATAATTTTACCTTGTTTCTGTCCTGAAAAGAATTTACTCCCTGTATTCTGTCATCATCAGGGACAAAGACTTTCAAAACTGTGTCCCCATTTTGTACAATCCTAAATCCAATATTATTCTCCATTTTTGTCACTGTTAAACTGGACACAAGGAGCAAGAAAATATAAAAATGCATGAGAGAAAATGTAAATGAGAAATAATCTAAAAACCTGAATATCTCTCATTGTAAAGTTTTCTTAGCATATATTCCTCTCTTTGGAATGGTGTTAGTGATGTTAATATTTGCATTGGTACCATCTTTTATGTTTTCTTTCGGGGATGCAAGGCTAAGAGTACAAGAAAATCCGTGGCCTTTAGATGAAATGGAATGCTAATAGTTCATTTGTAGGCTATGTACACCAATTGCATACCCATTTATTTGATTGATTGAGGTATTCCTAACAAAGATAACCAACAAAACAGCAAATGTACTGTTTCCTATCCATCGCTTTTGACCATGAGGGACCCAACCACCTTCCACCTGATATTTTCAGTGCAAAGAAGGAATACACTGTTGAACATGGGAACGATCGAGACAGTGAAATATGTTTGACTAAAAAGGCAAATGAGTCAACTGCAACTGGTAGGCATAGGAATTGGACACTTTTTGCTGTGGTCTCCAAAGAACTGGTATCACTTCCATAGTCAGGTTCAGTCAAAGCCGAATGAAAAGAAAAACAACCTCTTGACGTGTGGTACTTGCAAAATGATACAAACCATTCAAATCCAAGGAAGGTAACTTATCCAACATGCTATTGTTTTCATTTGAGCCAAAGAAGGAAGATACTTTGGCTTCTGAGCTTCAGACCCACACAATGCTATACTTGATGGCCAATCAAAGATGTAAATTTCAGGAACTATGTGTAACTATGAGCAAAATGGTTACCATTCAAGAGATAAATTACTCCAATAGTGAGCATCACCAAGGAAGAATGGACTAAAAAGAAAGTTGAACAGCTTGCATCAACTCTAGCAACTTCAGCAACAGCAGCAGCACTTCCAATTATGGAAAGACCAGGACAACCATAACTCTGAGAATCAGACAGAGCTAACTAGAACTCCTTTTGCAATGCGTTACATTTAACTGAGAGTCTAAGAAGAAATATGAGAGAAATCTATGTAAATACAGAACCTTAATTGTCCCAGTTTTGCAAACTTTGGAATAACATGAAATGGGAATTCAGCCTTCTCCTAGTACTGATAACAAAAAATATGAGATTGGGTGTCATGAGAATGAAAAGAAAAAAAAAATCAATGTAGAATCTTTCATACTATATTCTAATCCCCTCCACTCCTAACCCTAAACAACCAGAGCAAACATCAAACTTGTTCATCCGAAAATACAGTTGTCATCAGTTTGATGTTAAGAAATTGGTCTTTCAATGTAATAAACAAAATGGTCTATAACTTAACCTTTTTAAAGTGGAATTGGTCTTTCAATGACAATTATATATAATTTAATCTCCAGAAATGTTACTTTGGTATTAAGAAATTATCCATGTGTAATAGATGAAAATATTAACTTGTTAGCCAGATAAATTAAGTTTTAGAAACCAAATTGTACACTCATATAGTCATTGTTAGGATCACCATTATAGATATTTTCTAAGAAAAATAGTATATGTTATTTTTAAGTATTTGCTTTAACCACTTAAAAAAATGGTACCAAAATCTATGTTGGTGAAATTTGTTGTAATGTCATGCCACCAATTATTTGATTAAAAATTAGACCATCCATAATTATTTAGTTTCACTATGTCCGATCCGTACAAGGAAAATATATTGAAGATCTGTATAAAGATACAATCAAATTATAATATAATAAATGTAAAATTCCCCTTACAAACCGGTAGGACTAATAAGATTAGAGTCAATCTAAACAAATTTGTTAGGTCTACATACCACTCACCATGAACTATTGTTGGATCATAAATTATATTACATAAAAGGTTGAGTTAGACCTAAAATCATTTTATAAAATTAGAAAATAATACTAATAACATTTTTTTAATAATCTAAATAATATAATTATTTCAAAATTATGTTGAACACCTAAAAGTACATTTAAAAGGGTTATTCAAACATATAAAAAAACATCTATACAATGACATTTAAGTTTTGTCAAAAAAAAAAATTCTTTTTCTTAAAGAAAATAAGCAAGGAAGATTAGGGGAGCAATTTCACTTTCCATAAAATCTCATTTTGTTCCTAATAATCTGTTCCTCAGGTTTCAACTAGTCATCATACCATAAATAATCCCGTGTTGAATTCCACAACAATATTCAACTCACAAATCACATCTCGCTAAAAATAATTTAAAAATAAATAATAATAATAATATAAATATAAAAAAAAATTGGATGATTTCATAGTTAATATAATATATATAAATGACAATTAATATGAACTACCACAGGAGAAAAATTAGAGGCTGGAGCCACTCCTGTGAAAATGGTACAGAAGCATCAAGCACTGGCAAATTGAAATACGAAGGCACCTTCGAATCGCATCAAGATAATAAATCAAAGCATTCCTGTCACAAGAAAATCAAATCAAAGCATACCGTGGTCAGAAACGAAGTGCGCTAACATTTTAAAATCATATTATAGGAATGTATTATTATGGGATAATTAAATCAAGCCGAAGAGAGAAAGGGATAGGTTGGAAGAGACCTTGATTTGGGCGAGTCATTATGGAAGCGACCAGAAAGTTGTTGGGTTGAATGAGTTTATTCGGTTTTTTATGTAAAAACATAAAAAATAAAATATGTGATTCGCAACGTGTGATCTAGTTTGCAATTGGTCGATGGTTAAAAATAAATAATTAAATTAATTATTTTATCCTCTGTTTTATATATTTGTTCATACTATAGTATTCATTTAGTGTTATACATATACATACATGAAATATTTTATACAATTAATTAAATTTATATCTATATTAAATGTTATAAAATTAAAATAAATTAAAATAACCATAAACATTTTTATGTGGACATAATAAAATTGAAATAAAAATTTATGGTTGAATTTTGATATGATTTCCACACACAAAAAAGTTTTAATGGAGATATGGGTTAAATTTAGTTTTTTTGTTATCCTGAAGAAAAATATCATTTTTTTTTAAATTGTTCTCAAATTCTCCTTGTTTTATATTTTAGTATATTTTTTACCTGTTACATTGTGTAAATAGGATAAGTACAGGGTAACTAGGTGTTTTTTTTTTTTAATTATAACCACAGATTTAGAGAAAATAAATAAATAAAGTGTTTCACTACGTGTATATGTACATATTTGAACATTAACAGCACAAAATCAATTATTTTATCATTGTTATCAATCAACTTTGATAGATTTAACTTTTTTTAAAATATGATATAATATAAAGTGATTTAGTATTTATTAAATTGTAGTGATATATCTATAACTTATTTTAAACAACGAGGGAACGTTGAATTGTGTTTTATATTAATTTTAAAATAAAAAAATGTATGACCTACATATGATTTAATTTAAGCAATTTAAAAAAAAACATCAAAGATCTTAAAATAATAAAAAAGTAAAAAAAATATTTTTTCTCAAACTATTTTAAAAAATGACCTTTAACTTACCACATGATTAGCTAATGGACAAAAAAATAATAAATTATTTTATAATTAACAAATAATGTTATTATAACATCAATATTTTTCATTACACTCTTAACTTTGATAAAAAAAAATTATTAACACAAACAAGTGTTTTTCAATTAATTTCACTAAGTTACAATGTAACTATTTTTAACAAGTCTCTTTTAAACACACAAATATTCTTGTTTATAAGTTTTTTTAAATTGTATATATGACTGTTATTTATCAAGTTTACACTCACAACAATTTTGAGGACAGAAATAATGTTTACAAGACTTAGATTTTTTTTCGAGGATTTTACTATATCATCTTATAAGATTATACGAAGGATAAGTTTTCTAAATCTAGATAACTCTAAAACTAAATACATTATATGAATGATGATTGTAAAAATGGAATCATTTTGTATAAATATAAATGATTTTTTTGGAATATGATATAAACTTTTAGAACTTTACTCTAATCGAACTTCACTCTAATGAAGAAGAATTTTTTGTTTTTGTTGAACTTAACCATCCTGATCTTTCTAATATTTTTTTTTTTTAAATAGAGTGTTGTCATTTCATTCACTTTGTATTTATTATCTTCCTCTTATTTCTTATTTTAAGTTTTTTCTTCTATCATTTAATTTTTCATCTAAACAACTTTTGTCTTGTGTAAGTTTTTCATCACAAACATTTAATGAATTAACTATAATAAAATAGATTAGATTAATAAATTTATAATTTAAATTAAATATAATATTTTAATCTTGCTTCATTTAACATGTAACTTAAACAAAATTAAGTTGAATTGATGTGAAAACTTATAGATATTACAAAATAATAATTATATATATATATATATATATATATATATAATCTATTATTATTTAAATAAATATGACTATCTTTGATTTATAAGAAACCTAAAATATTTAAAGTTTATCTATGATTTAGTCCATCCACCTAATTATTTATTTTCTATACCTAAATCGAGAATGAAAGAGATTTGATGCTCACTTTTAGAATTACCGTCTTTTAAAATAAATTTTAGTTCCATAAAAATCCTAGGATTGTCTTTTGAATAAAATCTTTTAATTTCTTATATTTATTATATTCAACTTTACCTATTCTTCTATTCATTTAATATAATAAAATTTTTATTATTTATATTATCAATTATTCTAGGAAAATCATTTTTTATATTTTATTTATTAATTACTTTATCATTTTTCTCATAAGTACGCTAACTTATTTTATCAAAATATACATACACCTTTGTGAACTTTTCCAATATTAATTCTAGTTCTTTCAAAAAGTTCTATTTTTCCTCTACAGGGAGGAACTAGAAAATTTATTATTTTTATTCTTGTTTCAAAAATAGATAATTTTGTATCTAATAAAGGTGGCAAATTTATGAATAGGAGATGTTATACAGGACTTAAATTATCAATTAACTCTCCAAGCATGTTGAAAATTGGTTCTAGAGTTGTTCCACCTACTATAACACTTAGGGGAGTTCCTATGCCTAACTCTAACTCGATTATTTTCTAATAATTATTGTACCTCCCAAGTCACGCTAGTTTATTTATAATTAGTATTTCAATTCTTAACTACTAGAGCGTTGTATATTAGGCATCTTTCTTGGGAAAAACTACATCTAGTACCAAACCAATTATTTAGACAATATATCCCAACTTCATAATCGGAAGTAGTAGAATTTATTCGCATATCATACTATAGCCAAATTTTTTTTCCAAAAGAGCTTTAAAATAAAAAATAAATGTTCATAATAAAATAATTTGATCGGTTAATTTGATAATAAATAAAAAATGGAATTAGTACTCTTTTATTTTATTTTTTCTATTCAACCAATCCACTTGAATTGTTTACTTATTCAATTTTAATTATTGAATTCTTAAACATACTATTTTAAAAATTAAAATTTTTCGACAGTTTTTTCTTTCTTTTTTTCTACCATTCTAGATAATATCATTTATATTATTTATGGAATTAGAACTTACACCTCAATTTATAATTCATTTTTTTTTTCATTAGATTTCATATTTCATCAATAAATATTTTTTATATTTTTTTTATTATGAAGAAATCTGTCTATTTTTTCGTCTAAGATTTATATATACAACATACGTCACTATAAGGATAGAGGATTCTAATTTTAAAAAATTGTTTAATTTAAAATAGCGAATCTTTAGAAATAATTGATAACGCTGATTATTGTAAAATATTTCATTAATTTGTTATTAGACCTTGTTATTTTAAAAATTATTGATTCATGTAAAAAGTGTTTAGGCGAGAGAGAACAAAAGAGAAAGTTTACGTAACTGACTAATACGTCTTTGTTATTTATTGTATATGCGTCTGCTATTTATACATTGTTATTCAAACAGAAAGTCAAA